CGGCTCGAGCCCGTGTCCCCGGTGTGCCGTGCCCCGTCCCCTCACGGCTCGAGCCCGTGTCCCCGGTGTGCCGTGCCCCGTCCCCTCACGGCTCGGGCCCGTGTCCCCGGTGTGCCGTGCCCCGTCCCCTCACGGCTCGGGCCGTGTCCCCGGTGTGCCGTGCCCCGTCCCCTCGTGGCCTCTGTTCCCTATGTTCTTGTCCTTGTGTCCTCATATCACTGGCTCCATGTCACTGTCACCCCCGTCCTAACCTCCCCGTGTCCCATTTTCYCCCGCTGCTGTCCCTCGTGTCCTTACACCACTGTTGCATGTGTCTCTGTGCCCCTGGCTCCCAAGGCCTCTTGCCGCTGTCCCCCASCTCCGATGCCAATGTGCACTGTGTCTCCATGCCCCTGGCCTCAGTGCCTGTGCTATCTGTGCCCTACCACGCCCCTACTCTGCCCTCTCTTCCATCCATGTCCCTTCATGTCCCTCCCTGTGTCCTCTGCCCCTCCATGTTCCCATGCCCTCCATGCTGTCATGCCCTCATGTCTGTCCATGTCCCACCATTCCCACCTGCACCGCCCAGTCCCAGCTCCTTGTGCCCACAGGACAGCTGCCCCACGGACATGTCCAGGTCTAGCCCAGAGTGGTCCCAGCCCCAGCTGGTGAGAACAGGGACCCAGTGAGCCCCACATGGCCCAGTCAGCCCCACATGGCCCAGTCAGCCCCACATAGCCCACTCAGCCCCACATGGCCCAGTCAGCCCCATATGGCCCAGTCAGCCCCACATAGCCCAGTCAGCCCCACATGGGGGCCCAGTCGGCCCCACACGGCTGCAGCCCCCAGTGCACGTCAGTCCCAGGCCAGGCTGTGAGGGGTACACCCATGGTGGGGCCGGGAGCCTGCTCAGGGGGACCACAGGGGGCACAGGCTGTGACTCTCCAGGGGCGTTGGGGACCAAAATGTTGGGCAGTAGTCCTTGGAGCTGGCACCCCACAGGATTCTCACCCCCTGGGGCACCTATCCTGGCTGGTTGTGATGTCCCCAGCAGAGGACAGGAGTGGCACCTCACAGAGTCTGGCAGCAGAGACGCTCTGTACAGCTGTACCCCTAAACCACCCCAAAAGCCCAGCACACCCTGGACAGCTCTGCTGCAACCCAAATTCTGGGGAAGTGCTGTGCCTCTCCTGGGAATGCTGGGCTGCCTGGGAAGARAACATGGGAATACACCCCCTGCCATGAGCCATTGCTGAATGGGGCTAAAACCAGCTTTGCCCGCTCTTGCCCTGCCAGCAGCATGGCCAGGCAGTGATGGTCTGGGCRCCACGTGCTGGAAAGTTCATGCTGAGGCAGTGGAGTGTGGCGAGGCCAAGGCTATTCCTGGCTCCCAGCTGGTGTTTGGCCGAAGCGGTCCCTTGGTTTTGGCGGGCTCTTASTTTTGGCGGGCTGTAATTTTAGCAAGGGCTATTCCCAAGCTGCGGGGCTGTGGTTGAAACAGCTGCTCGTGAGCACCGGCTCAGCTGGGGGGCTGTGATGTGCATCGGCACCCCCTGCCCACAGCCAGCATGGGRATCCCGCCAAAAGTGCCCAAAATATGGCAGGAGTGCTTGAACCTGGTGGTTTTCCCTGCAGTGGCCGGTGATGTGGGCACAGGGTGAGGAGCTGTCGGTGACGGTGTCACTGGCTGGGGTAGCATCCCAGAACCCTTACAGCTGGAAAAGCTGTCTAGGATCATCGAGTCTATCCTTCATCTAAAACTGCCAGGTCCAACCATGTCCCTAAACACGACAGGRTGCAGGGTCCAGTCCTGGGGTGCACCCCATGCTCCCCTCCACTCCCCCTCACACTGTCTGCACTGCCCACCCTGGCTGTGGAGGGAAAAAAAGGCAAATTTGGCTAAAAGTCCTCCCTAAGTGGGTGAGCCAAATGCTTCTGTTGCCTCGTGGGGCCCAGTGGGGAGCCCAGCAGCCACCCCTATCACACCCCTCTGCTACCACTGTCATCGCCTTGTTGTCGCCTCGCCTACCTAGAAATTTCTTAACGTTAAGATAAAACATCCCACCCAAGCAATCTTAGCAAAGTCTGCAATTCACTGACCACGTTTCTCCAGAGAGGGAGCACCAGCCCTGCCATCAAATCTTTCTCCACCAGCACACCTGCCTGGGGATCAGCAGCTGTTTACCCCAAATATAAGAGAAAACAAGGGTGTGCTGAGTCCCCAGACCAGGTTGAGAGTCTGCTGGGAATTAAATTTTACTACCACAACAAAATTGAAATAATAAACATTTTGAAGCAGCTGAAAGGTGTTTATTTTTGAGTCRGTTCAGCTTGTTTACAATCTGCTTACAAGCCTGGGCACTCATCTTTGGGGCTGTTTACTGGACTCTTCCTTGGCCTCTGGCGGGGTTTCATACACATCTAAATAACCCCCAGCAAGGGGGTACCTTCCTGCCAGCTGTGTGCCCTGGCGGTTGCTGTTTTGACACAGTTATGCAAATGATTTCTCTCRTCTTCACAAACGGACTTGAATGCTCAGGTTGTGTTTTCGACCACGCCAGCCTCAAACATTTATTTATTTCATTTAATTCTCTTTCTATTGTGGGACAATAAACCTTGTCTGTCTCCAGCTGGGTCTTTGACCCAGGGCTGGCCAGGGCTGCTTGATAGTATTTTGTTATTCATAACTTGTAATGATAAATGTTATAATTTATATCTTGCATTTTATTGATTTATAACCTTTATTTTATTAATTTATAACCTGTATTGTTTCCCAGACTTGGGGAAACTTGCTGCATATTTTGGGAGCCCGGAGGCTGCCCCTGTACCCTGCAGCAAATCAGACTGAGGGATGAGCCCAGGGAAGGGGCTGCCTTGGCAGCAGGCAGAGACTCATTAGTTTAATTCAGTAAATGAGAGTGAATTTGGGCTGACCTGGCATGAGGTAGCAGCAGGAGGCCTTGGGCTCGTCCCCCTGTGGTGGTGGCACAGGGAGACAAAGCCACAATGTGAGCAGGGTCAGGGTCCCAAAGTCCACAGGAACGGGGTCAGTGGTGCCCAGCCTGGGGCCGGGTGCACTTGGATCATTGGAGGGGTGTGTGTGTGTGTGTGCATGTCTGCACATACATGTGCAGTGTCTGTGCTGTACACATGTGTGTGTGCATGTGTACAGCAGCCGGGACACCCCACACCAGGGCAAGGGAGCACTCTGCCAGGCAAGACCCCACTGGGTCAGAGATGTTCCAGGGGCCAGGGGGGTGACCCTGGCCTTGGACACACACCCTGCCGTGGCACAGAGCCCCTCCAGTCTTGGCACCACCCCTGTGGGTCCCTGGTCCACCAACACCACCCATCCTGCCAATTTTGGGCAGCATCAGGTCACCCCAAGACCTTTCCCCATCTCAGGGGCTGATGTCCCCACAAGGTGATGACACCCCAGGGTGACAGCCTGGTGAGGCAGGGGCACAGAGCTGGCCACCATCTCAGGGCTGAGCCAACTCAGGCTCGGCTACGCGGCACTTGCTCGCCTTCACACGTCAGCACCCACTGGAGACAGTTTCGCTTCCTTTTTTGGGTTGCTCTTTCAAATTTCTGATTGGGGACTGTAGTGGGTGAGGACTAAATTTAGCCAGGGGATGCCCCACAGCCGCACAGCTGCATGGTGGGGCTGGCTGGGGGAAAACAAGGTGGGGGCAAGTGTTGTCGTGGCCCAATCTGGGCTCTGCAGAGCCTTTCCCCAAGTCCTTCAGAGAACATGGCTACGTGAGCGGGGGRAATATCAGGATAGGGTGCAGGAACCCCTTCCTCCAGGTGCTTGGGGGCTCAGGCACAGCAGGGACCATGGGTATCAGCCAGGCTTGGGATGGCTGTAGGACCAAAATGAGTGGACTTGTGCTATTCCTCCCATGCTGCCCCAGAGGGTCTGGCTCTGCCCCATKCCCCCCAGCCTGGGCTGGGGCTATTCTGGGTTCTGTTCTTGCTTTCGAGTTTCAGCCCTGCTGCCTCCAGGAACGCGGCTGTTTGTGYGGCTGCAGCTGCGGTGGGGGCAGGCAGGACCCGTCCCTCCCCTCCGGCTGTGCCACGTTGCCCATGGCTCTCCAGATGCTGTTTCATCAGCTCCAGGTGCACTCGCTCTGCTCCCGCCACGTCCCCACAGAGAGAGACCCCACCTCCACTGGGCATGAAACCTGGCCTGGCAAAATCACCCAGTGATGTACAATAGGAAACAGAAATTCAGGGCTGTTTTTTGGGGGACAAACTGAGCCAGAAGTGGTTCCCATGGAGGGGACTCAGGAAGGATTTGGGGACCAGAGCAGAGCTTGGCACTCAAGGTTTGTGGCAGTGGTTTGGGGTGAGGGTTGCAAGAGCTCCTGTGGTCCCACACTCCTTTGCCTTCATCCCTGCATCACTCACTCTGTTCTCAGATGTGGGACCCCTCCAAGCCCAAGGTGTTCAAAACACAGGTTTTATCAAATTCCCCCTGAAAGCCTTGCTAAGCCCTCACCTGGGAGCCTCAGCCTGGGAGAGCAGCTCTCACCAAGCCCCAACCCTCCATGGGATCCACTGCTTCTCTCTGCAGCTAATTAAAGCCTTCCTAAAGCATCTCATTTACTAAATTAGCTCCCCCTCATTTAAAATTACTGGCAAGCTGGGAAAAATGAGAAAATAAATGACTGTTAAAATTGCAGTGCAGGCACCCGCAGAGTGAGAGCAGGGGCTGCAGCTGGGGAGGGGAGGATGGTTTTGGTTCTGCTCAGCACATTTGCTCTCCAGACACCCCCAGTGAGGGAACAGGACCAGATTGCTCTTCCCAGGCACTGCTTCCCTCCCTGCTAGAGCAGGGAACAGGCCCAGCACCCCTCTGTGATTCCCAGCTGAGGCTCTCCAGCCCTGTTGAAGGCTTGYTAAGGGTGAAACTCTGGCTGGGAATTTGCCAAGTTGCAGGCAGCAGGGGAGGATGGGAGCCCTGGAGGGACTAGGGCCACTGATCTATAATTAATCAGTTTTTTTTCTTGAGAGTAGTTACTTATGGAAAAATTTAGCAAAATCTTTTAATGAATAATTAGTGAGGTTTCCTGCCTCCTGAGTCAGAAATGTGCCTGCGCTCTGCCCACACAGATCTAAGCTGAAGGAAGACCCTGGCTTGTGTCCCAAATTGAGCCCACAAAAAGCTGGGGCTGGTGTCCTGTGACCAASGAATGGGCTTTACTCAGGAAATGCCAAAAAGAATTTCAATCCCTCTGGAAAACGTTGCCCTTCTGCCCTCTCTCCTCCAATGGCTCCCCCACCCCCAAAAATGTGGCAATTCTCAGGGTAAAACCTGGTGGCACAGCTGGGATGGGGGGTCCTGTGTTAAATGTCATTCACTTCAGCCTCAACCACTGCTAAGGGTGTGATTAAACTGCTGCTGGAATTGATAAATATTGAGCTTTCCAGTGGAAGAGAAGTGAACATCCTTCCTGGCAGCAGGTCTCCCACACAGTGGGACAGATCCCTCCATCATCTGCTCTTCCTTCTTTTCTCTGAGCATCCAGCTGCTGACTCTTTCCTTGAGGCCAGCAGCAGCCCAGAGGTCTGGYATGTGCATGGGTTTGCTCTGTAGTGATGGGATTTGGGATTTCCTGGGAAAACCATGAGCTTGTCATTCCACACATGGAAAGAGACATTGTGATGGGCTCCTTCAGCCCAGTCCCCTGTGCAGGGTGGTGGGAATGGGGCTTTGCCCTATGCATGGGRCTGTTCCATGGCAAGGCCTCTTTAGCCCAGGTGAGGAGGGGGAGGATAAAGTGGGATTAACACCAATGAAGTTGTTTTGGAGCGTGATCAGATGGGGTCAGGGCTGGTTGCCAGCTCCCTAGAAAAACCAGGAAGGAAGGAGAACTGTGCTCTCATATCAATACAGGCAAGGACATGAGGAATTGACAACAGTCCTGCTGCAAAGGATTTGAGGGAATCAGAGAATAATGACCTGACAATGTGCACCTGCAGCCCAAAAAGCCAAATGTCCTGGGCTGCATCAAAAGCAGCAAGGGCAGTGGGTTGAGGGAGGGGATTCTCCCTCTGTACTCCACTCCAGTGAGGCTCCACCTGCTCTGCTGTGTCCAGCTCTGGAAYTCACAACATAAAAAGGACATGGACATGTTTGGGTTGGTCTAGAGGAGGCCACAAAGACCTCAGAGTACTGGGGCACCTGTGCTTTGAGGAAAAGTTGGCAGAGTTGGGGCTGTTCAGCCTGGAGAGGAGAATGCTCTGGCAAGGCCTTACAGCAGCCTTTCAGTACTTGAGGGGACCTTATATGAAAGATGAAGATGGACTTTTYAGGAGGCACAGATTAAATAGGACAAGAGATGATGTTTCTTTAGTTTTTTAACTAAAGAAGGGTTGATTTAGGCTAGATAAAATTCAGAATTTTTTTACTGTGAGAGTGGTCAGGTGCTGACACAGGTAGCTGAGGGAAGCTRTGGATGTCCCATCCCTGGAAACATGCTGCTTCCTCCAATGTGCGGTGCTGTATCTCTATATTCACCTCTATTTCTATCTCTATCTCCATTCAAAACCCAGGATGACTCCCCCATTAAAATCTTTCTGATGAAGAAATGGTCAAAGATCATTTTTCTTGTCCKTAGCCCCAAGAAATTTGGTTGAAATTGAGATTTTTGGCCAAATTATTTTTAGAATTACAGACAAAGACAGACAAACGACACTTCTGGTGGCATTTTCAACACAATAATCTCAATTTTTTACACATTTTTACCTGAAAAAAGGGCTTTTTAAATACCCCAAAAATCTTCTGTCTAAGATTCCGCGGATGTGCTGTTTTAACAGGAAGTTGGGCTGCTCATGGTCAGTCGAGGACAGGCTGTCCTTTCACAACACGCATACCCCTGGCTGTGGGACCCCACAAAGAGCCCCTGCCCCTCTCCAGGGGTGACAGACTTAGTCCTTTGGACTAAAAGTTGAGGACTTAGACTTTAGACTGACAGATTTCTTTGCCAAAGACAAAAATCACCTCATTTAGAGGCCTGTATGGAAACATTCTGACAGGTCTGTTTGAATACCCTTTTCATTTCAGGAGTCTTGAGCTGGATGAATTTTAAAGGTCCATTCCAACCCAACCCCTTCTACGGTTCTGTGATTCTGTGTCCCACGAAGGCATTTSCAGGGACATGTGGCAACCCAAAACCTGGTGGGGCAACTGGCACAGCCTGGGGAGGAGGATGTGTTAGGGGCATCCACCTTTCCYAAGAGACTGGTGAGGGACATCTCCCCCACACAGTGTGCCTTAATGCTCCCATCCCCTGTCCCTGCGTGGCTCCTGGCTGCTCTGATTTGGTGAAACAGCAGAGCACTGGTGCTTTCAGCATAGCCATGGCTGTCAGCCCTTCCATGGGCTGTGCTGCAGGGAAACTGCCCCAGGGCTGTGCTGGGGATGGGGACAGGGCATGTGACATGCAGAAACCCACATTGCTGTGGCACGGAGTGTGATGGACAGACTGGTGCATGCACTTGACTGGCAGCTACACCATCACCCCATTCCAGGAGGCACAGGGATGGCTGTGAAATGGGGACTGAGCCAGCAAAGGGACATGGCTGGCGGTGCCTCCACCACAGCCCACATGTGCCTGCAAGGCCCATGGCACCCAGAGGCCAGTGAGCAAGGGATGAGGATGTGTTCAAGGAGTGCCTGGGGGCTTAGTGCAGGCTGTGCCTGAGGCTGCTCATTCYCTGGTCTTGGCAGTCCCTGGGGCTTTCATGGCAGTACCCAGGTTGAGCACAGGCTCCACAAAGTCCCTGCAATATGACTGTGTGTGTACCCATGCATGTGTTCCCGTCCCACCCTCCACATGGTGCTGTGGGTACYGGGCGCACTGGAATGACACAGAGACAGGAATGCAGAGCCAGCGCTAGTTCAGTGTCGGTGTTTATTTGTGTGACACTCAGAGTGGGGGACAGTAGCAGGGAACAGGGGCATGTGAGGAAAGACATCTGCAGCGGGAAGGAGCCGCTGTTCCCAGAAGTAAGGAGAAGGAAGGGAGCCAGCAAAGGGCTGGCAGGGTGGTGTTAAGCGCACTCGGATCTGCTCACGGTCTTCTCCACATTTCCGGCCTCGTGCCTGACCTTGCACGAGACAGAATTGTAACTCTGCCACTGGCTGGCCTCCAGCGACAGGTAGCTGCTGGCCATGTACTTGTTGTTGCTCTGCATCTGGGGCGGGCTGGTCACCACACCRCTGCTGATCGTGCTGCCATCAGCCACCCATTGCACCTCCACAGAGCCCGGGTAGAAGTCCTCCATCAGGCACACCAGCGTGCCTTTGTTCGTCGTCGTTAACTCCTCGGASGACGGGGCGAAGAGGTGGACGGTGGGAGAGGCCTTGGGCTGGCCTGAGAGGGAAGAGAGAGGTGTGGGGTCAGAGAGGGCCCTGTCCCCTACCACAGCCCCTGCCTGCCCTGCTGGCACTGCCCAGAAACTCCCCACTCTTCCCACATCCAAGGACTTATCACTCATAACTCTAATGTATTTAAATTTGTTATACATGTATATATATACATGCACACACATATATTACATATATATAATATATATAAACTATATATAATACATATGTAATATATATAATAATATATTATATATACTATATATAYACTATATATAATTTATATATATATATAAAATATGTGCATATGTGTGTGTAAGACACACACATACATACATCCCATATATATGTRTATATATGTTTTATATACATTATATGTACATATATGTGCATAMACATATGTTAGATATATGCAGCTAACATACATTAGATATATAAAGTGTRCAATATACATACTTATGTAGTACATATCACATGAAGATATGTATAATTCTATAAAATGTATTTCACATGAATATTTATGCGTTTTTATATCTCATATATTAAAATACATATAATATATATATTATATAATATTTTATATATATATTTTTATATAGATGTAACTAAATCTCAATTTATTTGCCGTACAAGCATTTTTTTTCCTTTTACAAGCCAAATTTTTTTAATAAATCAGAATTTTACAGACAAACCAGAAAACAGGACTGTTTTCTGCCCAGTCCTGTTTTCAGACATTTTCTCACTCCTGTCTGAAAACCTACCACTAAAAATCACCCAACAGAAGACAAAAAAAAGAATCCGGTCTTTCTGAGGTGGTTCTTCTGCCTCCTCCAATGTGCGGTGTCTCTATCTCTATMTTCACCTCTATTTCTAWCTCTATCTCCATTCAAAACCCAGGATGACTCCACCATTAAAATCTTTCTGATAAAGAAATGGTCAAAGATCATTTTTCTTGTCCTTAGCCCCAAGAAATTTGGTTGAAATTGAGATTTTTGGCCAAATTATTTTTAAAATTACAGACAAAGACAGACAAACAACACTTCTTCTGGTGGCATTTTCAACACAATAATCTCAATTTTTGACACATCTTACCTGAACAAAGGGCTTTTWAAATACCCCAAAAATCTTCTGTCTAAGATTYYGGGGATGTGCTGTTTTAACAGGAAGTCAGGCTGCTCATGGTCGAGGACAGGCTGTCCTTTCACAACACCCACACCCCCGGCTGTGGGACCCCACAAAGAGCCCCTGCCCCTCTCCAGGGGTGACAGACTTAGTCCTTTGGACTAAGAGTTGAGGACTTAGACTTTAGACTGACAGATTTCTTTGCCAAWGACAAAAATCACCTCTTTTAGAGAYCTAAACCTGATTTTACTTCCYCCTGAGACCTCAGACACATTTCCTGGACAAATTTTAAGACTTTTTGACCGAGAAATTACCCCCCAATCCTCGGTGGCGYGCACAGAGTCGTCAGAGTCCGCAGGGACGAGACAGAGCCCATGACGCTGGGCTTAGTGCCTGACCCCAAACGGGWGGCAAGACCCCAGCCCGGCGCCAAGTCCGAGAAAAAAAACCCCAAATCATCAAAAATCGACCAAATGTCAAAATTCCGCGGTGGGGAAGGAAAGACCGAGGGGAAGGTGGCGACTCACCGAGGACCGTCAATTTCGTCCCGCTCCCGAAAACACCACCCTGTGACACATGGCCATACAAAAACCTCCTGCCTCATGGCAGAGCAGTCCTGGTCCCCATGGACATGGCAGAATGGAGAAGATTGCCTAGAGATATTCCAGCAGGATGAAGGTGATGGTATGGAGATGCCATGATGGACGCAGCAGGCTGAAGGTGTGGACACATCTGTACCTCAGGGATTTTTATCCTGGCTGGGCTCTTTCAATGCAGCTCCCACCAACAGCAAAGTAACCAGTAGCTGAAGGTCTTTGCAGACAACTTATTTTAATTAATAGTCACCCTAAAAATATGAAAAGGCAAGAGGTAGAGATGCCTAAATAGAGCTCAGGGAAGGGGTGAGCCATAATGGGTTTCAGCTAAAATCGATTAACTTCAAATTCCACTGGAAAGTCTTGGCTGCTGCTTTGAAAAGTGTTTTCCCAGTGCGGTGCCAATCCCACAGACTGGCAGATTCAGTGCTCAGCTTGGACCCCTGAGTGCCAACAGCACCAACGTAAATTGAACTCACTGATATTCAAATGATGTGGTTTGTGCAAGTGCTTCTTAGAAAGAGGCAGACTCAGTGAAATTCCTGAATCCCCGGAACTACATAAATAATTCACTATAAAACAGGTGACCCTTTGAAGATTTTGTGGTTTGAGGCACTTTCGCTTTCAGAGGTTTTCTTTGCCTCAGGCTTTGGTGCAAAGCCTGAAACTAGCTAAAAAAAGAAAAAAAAAAATCACTGAAATTGTCTATGCAAAGCATTTAGCTGAAGCCAGTGTCCTCTGGCTTCAATCAGATTGTGGATGATCATTTTCTTAGCATTTCTCAGTCTTCGATGGGGTTTCAGTTTCATTTTGTAGGACAAAACAGGGGGAGATTGTTCAGCTCTTCAATCCTGCTCTTCTCCTTGGAGAGAGGTGTGGAGGAGGACAGGCTGTGCTGGATGCAGCAGGGTGTTACTGAAGTAGCTCTTGGCATTGCCTCCAGAGCAGGTGATCTTGACAGTTTCTCCCAGGTTGGCTGAAACCTCAAACTGCTGACTCGGTGATGCTGCCAGGACCAGGGAATGTGGAGGGGCTGGGGGAGAACAGGGGGGTCAGTCAGTGTCCCAGGACAGCCCTCTGTGACCTACAGGATGGGGATCCTATGCCAAAAGATCCTGGTGGAACAGAGGAACTCCAAGAGAGCCCAAGGCCTGAGCCCAAGGCCGGGACACCACGAGGAGGCCTGGCAGAGCAAGAGGAGGTGGCCAGCAGCAGCACGAGGTGGTGGGGCTGGTGACAAAGCAATGCCAGGCACGGCACAGCCCCAGAGTCACCTCCTGCTCAGCATGGGACAAGCAGGAGRSCATTCACAGTCACTGGCAATGCAGAGGGGATGTGAAGCTGCCTCAAGCCCACAGCCCTGCTCAGCCCTGAGAGGACAGGGAAGCGCCATTTTAACTCCTCTGTTTCCAGAGGGATGAGGCCCCTGCAGTGATGGTCTGGAGGCTCCTGGTACAGCCAGGCTTGGAGCTGGGTGGGGAGGCATCAACAGCACCCTTGGAACCAGCCAGAGAGATCAGGAGCAGCTTGGTTCCGGAGCACAGGGCAGGGACAGGGCTGCTGGCACATCATGCCAGCATTTCTTTATTGAGGGTGTTGGGAAACACTTGACAGGCTTCCTGGAGAGCTAGATGATATCCCAGGCCTGCCAGTGTTATAGGGGCACTTGGACAATGGCTTAAGCTTTGGTCAATCCTGAAGTGGCCACACAATTAAACTGTGTGATCATTGAAGTCCGCTTCCATCTGAAACAGTCTATTCTTTTCCATCATATCTACACTCATCCACAAATGACAACAGTTGTAAGGGCTGGAGCTGTGACACTGGGAACAGCCACGTTCACCACAGGGCAGAAAAGAGCAGCATCGTGCCAGGGGCCTGCCCCATAACCAAATAGGGACARCAGAGACTCCCAACTGTCCCCTGTCTTGTCGGGAGGGCTTTGTGTCACTTCCCCATTGCTCCATTTCACTATGGTAACATTATTGCTGCCACTTTGGTAGTTACCACATTAGCAGACAGCCTTGACCTCGGCTTGGACCCCAGTGGTGGTTACTGTGCTCATAGAGCCAGACTGGGATCCGGGGAATCACAAAGGGTGACTGGTAATCCCAAGGCATTCTGGTAGATCACAGTGCCAGGGGCACAGCCAGGAAACTTAGGTTAGTACCAGTTAGCTGCAGTCACCCCTGGAGCAGATGACTTTGATGGCTTGTCTCATGGTATCTGACACTGAGTACAGCTGACGGAGCACTGCCTGGAACAGGGAACCTGGAGAGGGAGAGGAGGGAGAAAAGAAGACAAGGGTCACCCAGGGACTTGGAACATGGCCCTCTCTGGTCAGGAGAACAGTGAAAGGGCAAATCTGCCTGCAGACACATGCAATGGTCACCCTGGGCCATGACAGCAATGCTGAGAGATCATAACTTCCTCAAATGACAGGATGGTCACAGTCCTGGGGCTCCAAGGGATAGCTAAGGTGGGAGGTTTTTGTATCACTTCCCCATTGCTCTGTGTCA